TCCTCTCCCCTCCCCCAGCCCTGGCTCCCGGGGACCCCGCGATGCCGGTCCGCACCGAGTGTCCCCCGCCGGCCGGTGCGTCGGCCGCCTGCGCGGCCTCGCTCATCCCACCGCCGCCCATCAACACGCAGCAGCCCGGCGTGGCCACCAGCTTGCTCTACAGCGGCTCCAAGTTCCGTGGCCACCAGAAGAGCAAGGGGAACTCGTACGACGTGGAGGTGGTGCTGCAGGTGAGCGCCGGCCGGAGGCCGCGGCACAAGGACCTCCTCGCGGCGCTCACGACCCGAGCCCGCCCGCGGTCCTCGAGCCTGCGGCTGCGGATCAGGCCCTCGCCGCCGGGGCCTCTTAGCGCCCGGTGCTTCACAGCCGGGACCTGCCCAGCTGGTGTCTCAAACTCTGCGAGCCCCAACCCTGACCTGCTCCCTAAGACTGGGACGCACTCCTCCAGACATGAAGCCCCTAGACCAGATACCCCGTGACTGTGACCTGCCTGCCTGGGATCCGGAAGCCACCCCCACCACTTGGACCTGGGTAGTTCCTCCCCGTGACCTGTCCTGTCGCCCCTAGACCAGCTCCCACCAGTTCCTCTCAGACCATAAAGAACTCCTTATTGGATTCACCTAAATTGGGACGTCCCCTCCCATGGCTGGGCCCGTGACAGATTCCCTCAGACCTGAGACATGCCCCCCTTTCTTAAGTACCAGGAATCCTCCAAGATCAGACCTCACACCCCAGGGTTCTCCTTCTCCTCTGATTTCCTCTTTGAGAGAGCTTGATCTGACCCTTCACCCTGCCTCTATTAGCCCCTGAGCCTGAGAGCCCCCAAGCCACAACTGATTGCTCAGACCCTGGCCCTCGTCAAGACCAGGGCCTCACACCCTGGGAGCTGCTCGGTGGGGCTCCTCACAGTCTATTGCCCCTTCTCCCCCACCCCCCTACTTACCCACTGCTGCAATCTCTTTTTGTTGCAAGTACCCAGCTCTTCACAGCTGCCTTCACCTCCAGGCCCCCGTCCCAGGCCTCTCATACCCTTTACCCCCATTCTTTGGCCACTTCCCATCTGCCCTGCTTCCCTGGCCCTATACTCAGAACTCCTTCCCACCCCGTATCTGAATATTCCTCATTCTTTGCTCCAGGGGACCCTCTTTCCGTATTCTTAACTTCTGTCTACACAGACACAGTCTCTCATACCTGTGTACTAGCAAATCTAACTCATCCAGTTCTGTTTCTCACACGGATATTTCCTTTCCATGTCCATCCTCCTCCCCGCATTTGACCTGGATTTCTGAGTATCTGCTGCCAGGTGCTGATCAGCTTTGGAAGTGTACCTTCACCTCTCTTGGCCCTTCCCTGTACCTCAGCCCTTAGACACAAGTGGTAGCACACTTGACATTTTTCCCAAAGCAGAGTGATGGTGGTAGTGAATACGCCTTTTGATCTTCTCTCCCTACAAAACTGTTCCTCCCCTATGTCTGCCTTTGCCTTTGCACCCACTTTCTCCCTCCCTTTGCTCCTTTTTCCTTAGTATGATACCCCACCTCCTAGGCCGGTCCTAAAAGTCCCTGTGAGTATCTGTCGCCTTGACAGCCCTTATGGAGAGCTCTGAGGTCCTGGCATGATGCCCTCCTGCTTCCATGGGCGAGGATAGAATGTAGATGTGTCCTTTCCTCATGCCCACCCATTGACCTTTTTTATTTTAAATCTTAAACAGCATCTCTTCTGAACAAATAAGTCTCCCACCCAAAAGACAATGGGGACACATTTTTCTTTCTGCTAACTGTAGCTCATTCATCAGTTTCTTTTTTTCTTACTGTTCTGTGGGAATAAATTTTGTCTTGTTTTTTAGTCGGGAAAACTGCATCCTCGTGTTAATTATGTCTTTGGTCTGTGAACCTAAAACTCTGTTGTGAGCTGTAATGTTGATTATAATTGAAAAACTAGTGTGGTTGACATCTTTCAGTCTCAAAATTATAGTTCTCATGAGGCAATCCCCTTTTTGCTTAAAATGTGAGAAATTAGTATGAGAGTACAGGCTCTTTTTTTTTTTTTTTTTTTTGGTAACCATAAAATCCTGGAAGTGAGATCCGTGGTATGGGTCATGTTTGGCATGATCTTGAATTTGTGCCCATTTTAAAAGTTAATAGTTTCTGATGTTTTAGGGGACAACTGGCAGGGTAGCGAAGTGTCAAAAGGAAATCTGCTTTGGTTACTTCTGTCATTAGTGTGTGATTTCTGAACTCCTGTCAGGTGCCAGGTTTCTTTGTGAACCCACAAAGGGATGAGTGAGTCAATGGGCTTATAGAATCTGATGTTTGGGGGAAACTTGTACTCTGCTAGCAGCTCTCAGGGCAGCCCAGAGCAGACATCCAGCGCAGGGCTGGAAGCTACTGGAGTATGATGCCCGGGGCGGGGCGGGGGGGCGGGGAGGCGGCTGTCGTCATGTCAAGGAATGCTGCCCTGCATCTGGATTAGGGAGCTGCTTGTTTGTTATGGGGACTAGTCAGTGGCATGTAAATTGCCCGATCATCTGGTTTTTCAGCCAGGACTAGTTTCTTGGACTCAGCTTCTCAGAATACTTCTCCTGCCTTTCATAATTCAGCTGCTTTCTTTTTTTTTTTAAAAAAAAAAAACAGTTTTAGTAAGGTATCATTCACATACCATACAGTTTCACCCATTTAAAGTGTGCACTTCAGTAGTTTTTAGTATGTTCATTGAGTTTTGTAACTATCACCACAATCTAATTTTAGAACATTTTCATTACCCCTCAAAAAAACCCATGCCCCTTAGTCACCACCCACCCACCACACCTACCCTTATTACCCAGCCCTAGGCAACCACTCATCTACTTTCTGCCCCTATAAATTTGCCCATTTTGGACATTTCATGTAAGTAGAATCATACTTTTTGTGGTCTTTGTGACTGGCTTCTTTCACTCAGCACAATGTCTTCAAGGTTCATCTATGATGTAATATGTATCAGAACTTCATGTCTTTTAATGGCTGAGTAATATTCCATTGTATTATATACAACATTTTGATTATCCATTTATCAGTTGATTGACACCTGCATTGTTTCCATTTTAGCTATTGTGAATTGTGCTGCTGTGAATGTTCATGTGCAGGTTTTATGTGAATGCATGTTTTCAATTCTCTTGAGTAGATACCTCGGACTGGAGTTTCTGGGTCAGATGGTAACCCTATGTTTAACTTTTTGAGGAACTGCCAAACTGTTTCCAAAGTGACTGCACCATTTTACATTCATTCCCACCAGCAATGGATGAGGGTTCCACTTTCTCCACATCCTTGCCAACACTTGCTATTATTTGTCTTTTTTATATTAGCCATCCTAGTCGGTGGCTGAAGAGCTCAGCTGCCAACCGAAAGGTCAGCAGTTCGAATCTACCAGCCGCTCCTTGGAAACCCTATGGGGCAGTTCTCTGTCCTATAGGGTCACTTTGAGTCAGAATGGACTCTATGGCATTGGGTTTTTTTAGCAGGTGTGAAGTGGTGTCTCATTGTGGTTTTGATTTGCTTTTCCCCAATGACAAATGAGCATCTTTTTTGTGCTTATTGGAGCACTTTCTTTTCTGAGATTTCGTTTTAAAGCGTTCTTCAAACCTTCGTGAGGTCCTGACTGGGTCATTTTGTCGTTTGTTCTTCCTCGCCATCCAGGAAGCCGAGTAAATGAAGCCCAGTCACTGTGATGGGTACATTAAAAAGAGCAGCTGCTAGACACAGCTGTGCCAGGAGACCTTCTTGCTAAGCATTGGCCTTGTTATTTGTCACTGAGATACTGACCTGTCACGTGACTTGTGGTGTATTTGAGTTCACCATCCATCATCAAGATCAATTTGGGCAGAATAGGAGAGACACATGGTTGAATGGAGGCCAAACTGAAATTCTGATTCTTGAGCATGCAAAATGTTAGCTGATTTACAGTTCAAATTTTAATCTTATTATCTAGTACCCTTGCCACCCGATACCCTTTCCAGCAGTTGTGAAAAAACCCCAAACCATGTTGAATTGAACGACGATTGCATACATGACATATAAGGCCTCAGGCTAGAGCTCTGTGTCCTTTATTAAAAATTCTTGGCTGAACTAGGTTAGTGTGTATCAGCTGCCTCGATAATGTCCAACACCCAAGATCAGCAGATGAGGGTATTTCAAATGCTTTCAC